CAGAATCCAAGCTACTTAAGGTCCAGTGTAGTTTTCACAATCAGTGATGATTTGTTATCTCCTGTTCTCTGTCTTGTGTATTTTATAAACACCAAAGTCAGGGTAGCCCTCTTCTAGATGGCTTTAAGATACCTTTTGCTTTTATCTACTTATAAGCTTCCTGGAGAAAATACAAATGCTATTCTCCAACAAGAGCTGCATTTGCTGCCAAAATACAAAACCTGAATTAATAACATCACTTTACTTATCAAACTGACCTGACGAATGAAGGATATTGTTGGAAAATGTGAAACTCCACTACCAGTACTGCAGGCTACCTTAGCTGCTTACTGAATATATCTTATGGGATTAATACAGTATTTTTTAATTGAATTGAATTACACTTCTTTAGCACCACAGCAGAGTCACCAGCTTATTGCCTGCATGCCATGTGTAATTTATGCAATCACTAATGTAAAGAAGGCCCAAACCCAGTGATTCCATATACAATATGTGCACAACTTTACGTCTAGAACAATTTCAGCGATTCATCATTATAACTCAATATCTTCTATGAATTATTATGCAAGTACCAGTGATTATAGTTATTAAGCAACTTTTTTTTAAAAATTAAACTTTTTCATCTTTTTATGAACATTTTCTTAAAATTAATTTAAAAAAAACAACAAAAAATGTAAAACATAATCATTATTGACAAAAAAAGCAGTAAGCAATATAGCTTACTGCTATATAGTTAAGTTCTTTTTCATGATATTCACAAGTCTTATAGTCATGAAGTCAGTTGGTTTCTTGATTAGTTGCCATAAATTAACATTTAAAACACCAATGTGTTTAATGCACTTTTATTTAGTTGGACCTGTGGAACAAGCATCTAAAAGCAGAGTAAGAATATATCAACAATTGGGTAGAAACTGCAAGAAAAAAACAAGTGTGGTGCAGTTTTGGAAAAAAAAATGCAAATGAATGCAGCACAAAAATGAATGTAAAAAAGGAAAAATCTGCAAAATTCTGTTGTTTTTATAACTTCATTTTTTATGTGTGAGATTTTTATTTTTTTTATTTTTTNTTCACCATCCTTCCTCCCCCTTCTCGTTCTGTGAACCTCTGGAGTCCTGAGTTAAGCCTTTTTTTTTTTTATTTTTATTTTTTTTATTTTTTTTGGGGGGGGGGGGGTGATCCTTCAAATGTTTATCAAGTAGAGATAGAAAGTTTAAAGTGAAATAGCAGGATAATTGCAATAACCTAAATCAAGTTAAAGTGTTATTAATGGCTGTTGCTCTGGCAAAACTGGTAATGGTGTGGGGCTGTTCCAGTGCCTGAGATGTTTAGGAAGCCACACTCCTGAGTGTGGTCTGTTCAATAGCAAACGGCTGTGAAGCTATTCGGTACTGCTGAAGGAATGTGTAGAAGGCCGCAAGGAATCCTTTCGCTTGCATGAATTCAGCAAACACTAAAAGTCTCAAACAGAAGGTTAAATGGATGTGTGAACAGTAGAGAATCTACCTCTGAGCCTTTGCTAACCTTGCTAAACACTAAAACCACAGAGGAAAATCTCCTTCCACCCTGGAGCGTGCAATGAGTATACCATACCTGTCAGCAGTGGAAAAAGATCTCTAAATATTTACCTTCCCTTAATAGCTCTTACAGAACATCTAAAGGACTCAATGGTTGGCTCTTAAACAGATTGGGTTTGCTTAAAAAAAACTGCTGGATTATATGTTTAATCCAAATTCTTGGCATATTCCTTCACAAAAGGAATTCAGCTCTTTAAACCAAACATTACTTATTAAATTGTGACCAAATTTGTTGGTTTAAAGCAGAGACTAGTGGGAGATGCATCATTCCACACAGACCAACATTTTAAATAATTTCAATCTGCATTTGCTGATTCAAACTTTAAAAGTAGAAGCTTGGATAAAGTGCAGATAGGTTCATTCATCATGCCTCCAGCCTACTTTGCTGCGTCATTTTTCATATTGCCCTCTTTCAAAACATTGAATTTAGCTGAATGAGCCTATAATTGTTTTCTGTAGACCTTAATGACATGTGGGAAATCATCAGGACATGATAAAACATGCATAACATTTGGGTTGGACACATTGATGCCTCAGATAGCATTGTGTGCAGGTGGGTGGGTGCAGACCACTGGGACCATGTTAATACAAAATATATTAATTTAAACAATGTGAATCAATAAAACTATTTTAACTGACAAAACAAGAGTTAAATGAAGATAATTAGCATTAACCTAATTAAGATAATTAACATAAGCATTCTGGAATGTTTATTACATCTTTTCCTCTTGAAGTTTTGATTTTGATTAGGTGGCAAAAAACAAACAAAACAGTACAAATTTAAGAAAGTCCTCATTGCACTTTCAAAACAGAATAAATAAAGCGGTTGCAGGAAATCATAGCATTCATTATGTCTGTGGGTTGCGTTAAGGACTGTAGGTCACACTGGAAAACAAGTTGGTTTATTTGTTGGTTAAAGGTATAGTGGAGGATTTTCACAATTTCTTAAAAAGACCCACCCTCTCCACTTAAAAAAAAGACATGCATAACCCTGTACCTGCTCCCAAGAGGGAATGCCTATGAAGCGCATGCGAGAGCATGCACAAGCTCATTTCTCCTTGTGCAAGCTCTGTTTAAAAGTTGCCATTTGCATTCTCATATAAGCTTAATTTGACTTACCACCGGTAAGTCAAAATAGGGACGAGCACATAGGACGGCCTTACATAAACAAATCACCAGAATGATTGACAATTAGGAGGACCACTTAAAACAACGTCCTCCACTATACGTTTAAGATAAGTTAAGCTTCTATTCCACTTTTACAGTATATATTGATCTGACACTTTAGTAGGTACAGTTGTCATTTGTTTACTACAACAAATGTCCGATTGACCAAATAAATGGCAGTAACTCAATGAGTTTAGATATCTAGATGTGGTAAAGTCGACTTGCCAAAGTTGTTTGTTGATGGTTGACGGGCTGGTCTGAGTGTTTCAGAAACTGATCATCTAATGACTTCCAGAGACAATCATTTCTCAGCTTCAGAGAAAGCTAAACAAAAGAGAAAACGTCCAGTCAGGGACAGCTCTGTGGAGGAAAATGCCTTGAAGTCAAAGACTTACTATTTGACTATAACCAAATGAAATTGGCAAACCTGCATGTCTTTCTGTTGCTTTTGTCCAGTCCTCCATGGCTGCAGTCTGACAAGCCTCTGGTGACTCCCATAAAAGTTCAAAAAAATCCACTGGACTTGGTTTCCAAGATTTGAAGATGTTTCGCCACCTCTTCAGGAAGCTTTCTCAATTCAAAATGAGTCAAAATTCATTTGAATTGAGAAAGCTTCCTGGAGAGGTGGCGAAACATCTTCAAATCTTAGAAACTAAGTCCAGTGTATTTTTCTGAACTTTTACGGAATGACTATGACCTGGATGACTGGGAATCTTCATCAGCATATTGCACTCTGGTGACTATTTTGTGCTGAATGATACAGCTTAACTCATCTAAGAGTGGTTGACAATGAGTTTGCTGTACTTAAATGGCCTTAAAGGAATAGTACACCCAAAACATGATTAGCCTTCATTTTCTACTCACCCCCATGCTGAACAACACTCTGGAGTACTTTTTTGATATCTCAAATGCATC